CCTTCACTGTTTGATTGAATTTGGGAAAATTACTTAATTTCTGAGTCTAATATTCCTTAACAGTAACATAGGGATAATAGTACTATTCTTGCAATGTAATTATGAGTGTGAAGTGCCTGGTCAAGGGCCTGGCATCTTGTAGGTGCTTAGTATATGATAGCAGCAGCTGTTTCTGTTGTCCTGGCTTCCTAGCTCAGGCATGATTCTGAGATTTTGATTTGGTAATCTTTTGACCAATAAGCAAACTGCATTGTAGTGATTGATTTTTCTGAGTTCTTTTATTCATATGAAGTATTGCTCTAAATTACAAATGAAATATCCCATCATCTTGGGATTCTTGCAGTATAAAATTTCTCAGACATTTTAAAGCATTCTTTTTTATAACTTAAGGGTTTTTCTGGTGAAATATAAGTATCTTTTAGTTGTGTAACCCTGAATTGCCACTCACCAGTAAGCTCAGTGCTTTGGCTTTGGGTAATCATTAGCCACATAGCACCAAACACACAGATTGCCCTCCTTGTCAGTCTTTTTTGGTTGGAAAGACTAATAATACTTGATTAGCAATGATTGTGCTTTTTAGATTAAGTATCAAAAAATATTGAATATTGTCTAATTTATGAATTTTTATGTTCCATAAATCTTTAAATGCTTTATGTGTATAAATTCATATAATTCTCACAATAACCATATGCATTAGATGCAATTATTGTCTACATTTAACAAATGAAAAGACTGAGGTACAGAGAGAGAAAGTGCCTTCCCCAAGTTCACACAATTGTGGAGTCAGGGTTTGAACCCAAGAAAGTCTAGTTCTGCAGCCCACATGTTTTAACCGCTACACAAAGGACCACTGGTCTCCACATCCTCTGGAATCTCCCCAGCTCCATCACTGACCAGCTACTCTCAATGGTAACTCTGAGGGTAATTCCTGCCAGGCTCACTGAAGTTGCTCCTAGTGGTTCCTCTCCTTGGACACAGTCCCATCCCAGGGACCTCTTTCAGCAGGTGCTCCATCAGGATCATTTCTGCCATTGGAAGTGGCTTCTGTCACCACCTCTTGTCATGGCTGCTGCCAGTGAGGGGTAGCTTTGGACATCCACTCCTGCCAACATTGTCTAATTTATGAATTATTTTTACAATAATTCCTTAATATTTTAGTAGTATTCACTTCAATTATTGTTTTTCTTTGCATTATCTATTTTTACAAGAGGTTTTAAGCGAAGAGAATACTTTTGGGGGTTATCTGTGCAGTTTACAATGGTCACTTTCTCTGAAAACTCACCCCTCTGGTGACAGGTGTGGTCATTCTTTTCCTTAAAGTTGTGTGTGTCCTACTTGCAGCCCTCCATCCTTTTGGTCACATATAATTGGACTAGGGATGAAAAACAGTCTCTAGCTGGATCATTTAGATTTTCCTGGGAATTTAAAATTGGGACTGAGTCATGGCTGGTCTTTAAACTATTTGCTTGAACTGAAGTGATGAAGACTTGGGCATGTCTGCAGTTATCTTCAGCATTGTGTATGGAGAAACAGAAAAAAGTTGGTCTACAGAGAGAAAACTGTGTAGATGGACAGAAACAAAGATGCAAGTCAGAAAGAGAGTATTGTCTGGATTCTTAACAGCTTTCTGGATCCTTATTCCAGTACTTTGTGAGGCCCAGCTATCTTTCAGTACCATAACATACCTCAGTGATCTTCTAGTAAGTTTCCTTTTTTTGCACAAGTTTGCTCAAATTAGTTGATCTTAATAACAAAAGAACTTCAATTAAGGAAGCTAGATTAAGCTTAAAACAAAAATAGATGAGTATGAATATTCACATGCAGAAGAATGAAGTTAGACCCCTTCCATACACTATATACAAATGGATCATAGACCTAAATATAAGAGATAAAACTATGAAACTCTTCAAAGAAAACATAGGAGTAAATCTTCCTGATTTTGGATTACACAAAAGTAAATGTAACACCAAAAGAAAAGATAGATAAATTGAACTTCATCAAAATTAATAACCTTTGTGCTGCAAATTATGCCACCAAGAAAGTGAAAAGACAACTCATGGAATGTGAGATTATTTGCACATCTTATGTCTGATAAGGGGCTTTTATCCTGAATACTAAAAAAAAAAACAAAAAACAAACAACAACTACAACTCAATAACAAAAAGACAACTCAATTTTTTTTGTGTGTGTGTGAGGAAGATCAGCCCTGAGCTAACATCCATGCTAATCCTCCCCTTTTTGCTGAGGAAGACCGGCTCTGAGCTAACATCTATTGCCAATCCTCCTCCTTTTTTTTTCCCCCCAAAGCCCCAGTAGATAGTTGTATGTCATAGTTGCACATCCTTCTAGTTGCTGTAGGTGGGACGCGGCCTCAGCATGGCCAGAGAAGCGGTGCGTTGGTGCGCGCCCCAGATCGGAACCCGGGCTGCCAGCAGTGGAGCGCGCGCACTTAACTGCTAAGCCGCGGGGCCGGCCCGACAATTTTTAAATAGGCAAAGACTCTGGATAGACTTTTCACCAGAGAAGATATACAAATGGCCAGTAAGCACATGAAAGGTGCCCAACATCATTAGTCATTAAGGAAATGCAAATCAAAATCACAATGAGATATCACTTCACATCCGCTATGATGGCTATAAGTAAAAAGATAATAATAAGTGGACAAGACTGTGGAGAAATTGAGATTATCATACATTGCTGGTGGGAAAGTACAATGGTGCAGCTACTCTGGAAAACAGTTTGGCCGTGCTCCAGATGTTAAACATAAAGTTATAATGGGACCCAGCAATTCCACTCCTAGGCATATACCCATACGAAACATATGTCCACACAAAAACTGGTACACAAATGTTCAAAGCATCATTATTCATGATAGCCAAAAAGTGCAAACAACCCAAATGTATATCAGCTGATGAATGAATGCACAAAATTTAGTATATCTGTAAATGGAATATTATTGAGCCGTAAAAAGGAATGAAGTGTTGGTACATGCTACAATATGGATGAACCTTAAAAACATGCTAAGTGGGCCGGCCCCATGGCTTAGTGGTTGGGTGCATGCACTCCGCTGCTGGCGGCCCCGGTTCGGATCCCGGGCACGCACGGACGCACCACTTCTCCGGCCATGCTGAGGCCGCGTCCCACATACAGCAACTAGAAGGATGTGCAGCTATGACATACAACTATCTACTGGGGCTTTGGGGGAAAAAATAAATGAATAAATAAAATTTAAAAAAACAAACAAACAAACATGCTAAGTGAAAGAAGCCAGACACAAAAGACCACACAGTGTATGATTTCATTTATATGAAATGTCCAGAGTTCGTAAACCCATAGACAGAGAAAGTAGATTAGTAATTCCCAGGGGCTGGATGGAGAGAGAAGTGGGGGGTGACAGCTAATGGATACAGGGTTTCTTTTGGGAAAGATGGAAATGTTCTAAAATTAGGTTGTGTGATGGTTGTACGACTCTGAATATACTAAAATCCATTGCATCATATACTTTAAATGGGTGAGTTGTATGGTATGTGAATTATATCTCAATAAAGCTGTTTTTAAAAGTAGAGAGATAGACAATAAAGTTAATATGTTAACTTTGATACAGTCTTCAAAAATAATAGATTTCTGTAGAGTAACTTGGACTGTTTTTTTCATAAATCCTTGTACCTAAATAAGTACATTTTTTCCTTTTTAATAATAAAATTTAAAAATTCTAAATGGCATGTTACTTCATTTAGAGATAATTTGTGCAAAATTTAGTACAGATTGGGGGCCGGCCTGGTGGCGTAGTGGTTGGGTTCATGCACTCTGCTTCAGCAGCCCCGGGGTTCACCAGTTTGGATCCTGGGCACGGACCTATGCACCACTCATCAAGCCATGCTGTGGCGGCGTCCCACATAAAGGAACTAGATGGATGTGCAACTAAGATGTACAACTATGTACTGGGGCTTTGGGGAGAAAAAAGAGGAAGATTGGCAACGGATGTTAGCTCAGGGCCAATCATCAAAAAATAAAAATAAAATAAACAGATAAAAAAAATTTAGTACAGATTGTATTTATCAGTTGGAGTGACAGTATAAGTTGAAATGTAGATTTTTCCTAACATATTTCTCTCATTGCTGTTATGTTTTTGGGATTGATGGAGACAGTTGTGGTGTTATGGAAAGATCTTGGACTTAGCACTTGCTGAAGCAGGACAAACATAGGTGTTCATTCTGTGGTCTTGAACAAATTTAATTTCTTAGGGCATTGGTTTCAAAAGCTTTAAAATGAAGATCATGCTGGGATAAAAGTTTTTTTTCTTTCTAGTTTTTCATAGAAGTTTGAGAAGTTTTCCTAAGAAAGATAAGCATAAGTATATTCAGCTTCTATCCTTGTTTGAATTTGTTTGTCCACACTAATGTTATCTTAGATTTTAAGCCTTTTGCAGAGTCCATCTTTGTCTAATGCCTAGTATTATATCTGAGAAAATAGGTTCTCAGTTTATATTATTTAAAGAAATTGAAATTTACTATTATTGGTGACCTTTGAAGTAGTAGGTGATAGAAGTCATTGAAATATTAACTGAAAAGCTTATTTTAACCTTCATAATATATGTCTTTTGTCTATTTAAAATTGTGTCATTAATTTTGACTGTTTTTAGATATTAGTGATATCTACAAATTATGCCAATTCCAGGTTAGTGTATAATTTGTTTTTAAAATATGTTAACTGTATGTTATCATTTTGCACCTTTTAGTTTGTTTTTTGATAAAATACATATTTTTTAATGAACTAATAAAATCAGTTTTAGTAACTAGTAAAATCAGTTGATTTTAGAGGAATCTATAATTGCATCTGGTCTCATGTACTGAGTTACTTAGTGGCTGATATGTGGCAAATACATTTTTTTGTTGCAGTTAAGTGATGATACAAGATGGGTTTCGATTTTCTTTGTTTTTTGTTTGTTTGTTTTAGCTTGATAGCTACATGATCTTAATATGCTAGCTTTTTATTTGCAGAGATCCTGCATATTTTGATGAAAATTGGCTAAACAGAATCAAAACTGAAGTAGGAGATAATTGGAGGCTAAAGGTATTTTAAAAAATTTTTCCATGTTAATTAATCTTTTACTTGTGTGTGTATAATATTTGTTGATTTTTGCTCTGTTGGGTCCAGTGAGCTTTAGAAACTTAGGTAGCCTTTAGTGGAATAACCTAGAATTGAAGATTGGAGGGAGCCTGAAGTTCTCCCCAAGATACAATGTCAGTCACTAAAGCACAGACAAGGGCATGGTGTCTGGACCCAGAGAGCCCGTGTCCACATCACAGCTCTGCCATTTACTGTCTGTGGAAGAGTCTTGAACCTTTCTGGGCCTCGGCCTCCCCGTTTGTGAAATGAGGGTTGTAATAGGGTCTACTTCACAGGAATAAATAAGTTAACATGTGATGCACTTAGGGTAGTGCAGGGCAGTGTAATGTTGGTTGCTAGTGGTGGTGATATTAATAATGAGAAAATGTTGATCATTATTAACTGTGTCCAAAACACTCAGAGAATGAATTATTTTCATTTCCTTCCTAGTAGCCTTAAGTTCCAGTGTTTCTCAAGCTTCTTTGACCAAAACCCACAATAAGAAATATAGTTTACATTGTAACCTGCTACCCACCTAAATGTGTGTTCATATATAGTTGAACAAGTTTTTAACCTTACTTTATGCAGTGATGTTTCTATTAAATTTTTTAAAATATTAGTTGCAACCCACTAAAGTATATTTTTAACTTTATATTTTGAAATAATTATAGATTCATGGGGGGCAGGGATGCAAAAAAAATGTGCAGAGAATTTCCGTATACCTTTCACCCAGTTTCTCCAGTGGTAACATCTTGCATAACTATAATATGATATCAGGACTAGAGAACTGACAGTGATACAATCCACAGTTTATTCAGGTTTCACCAGTGTTACATACACTCTTGTGTGTGTGTTTGTACAGCTCTATCAAGGTGCAGATTCATATAATGACCACCACCATGAACATACAGAACTGTTCCATCTCTGCAGGGCTTCCCTTTACACCCACATCCACGGCACCCCTCGCCCTAATCCCTAGCAACCACTAATTTGTTCCCCATCTTGTAATTTTGTTACACTAAATTGATTTTTATGACCCAGTAATGATCATGACTGGCAGTTTGGAAAACTCAGAAACCATTCCTTTTTGATATAGATTGGTAGAGACTCAGAAATGCAAATGAGTAAGCATGTGAAGCCCTTGGACTTAAGCAAAGCTTAGTTTGTCTTTATATTTCCCCCATAAAACATGTATTTGATGAAAAATATTTGATTGCTTAGATATTGGGCATGCCAAAATCTAATTCTTTCTTTTTTACTAAGCTGGAGCGAATGGACACTGCTTAATGGCACTGTTTTAATTTCTAAATAATCTTTCAAGAATAGGCCATTAAAAATGATTTTTTTTGTGTGTGTGTGAGGAAGATCAGCCCTGAGCTAACATCCATGCCAATCCTCCTCTTTTTGCTGAGGAGGACTGGCCCTGAGCTAACATCCTTGCCGATCTTCCTCCAGTTTACGTGGGACGCCGCCACAGCATGGTCTGACAAGAGGTGTGTCGGTGCGCGCCTGGGATCCGAACCTGGGGTGCCAGCAGCGGAGCGCGCGTACTTAACCGCTACACCACGGGGCTGGCCCCAAAATGATTAATTTTTAATGTTGTAACATGTTTAAAACAATTCATGAAAGTTTAAATTAATGCTACTAATCATTTTGTGTTTGCTTGTTGGCTTGACCAAGGAGAGTTTCGTGTCCCACCCCCGTGTGCACAGTATACTCATAAACACACACTGTCTTCAGGGGACAAGTGTGGCAAAGGCAGTAATACAGAGAAGGGGAAAAAGTTGATCATATTCTTCTGAAAATGTCAGTGCTGATTTGCATTCCTGTTCTTCATATTTTATCGTATGTTATATTTCTTTAAGATACCATTGATTAATGATAAGATTTATAACTTTTTTCAATGGGAAATAAACTATCATTTTAAATGAACACATTGATTTTTTAAAACATTCTAATTAAAAATGTTAAAATAGGAAAAAATGAATATCCTAGAATAAATGAAATAAAGTATATTATATATTTTCCGTGTCTTCAGATTCTTCTAGAAGTATAAACGTGTTAGTTTTATTTGAGATTTTTTTTTGAAAATAAGTTTTCAGTTTATTTTCTCCCTTAAAAGTAAATATGTCTTTGACTTACCACTGGATTGCACTGCTGTGATTCAGCCTCTTTTATTTGATAGCCGCAGGTTCTACTGTCTTCTGTCCTAGGACATCTTCAGCTGCTAACATTGGCTAGGAATGGCTAGATAGATGATCAACAGAATTGCATTGTATACGCATTTAGCTTAGCACAAATTCCCCCGTGTGAATTAGGTCCAAAAAAAAAGGCAGGGGGAGCGGAGGGGAATACCAGTTTACAGTAAATAGTGCAGATGATTCTGCCTGTCATTTCACCCGAATGACATGTGGCCAGTGAACCTATATATGCTCCAAGAGTGAGTGAGTGTGGGGAGACATCTGTATGTTGGTCCCTCATCCTGTCTCGTTTCTAGGATGCTTCATACAGCATAAGTATCTTGCAATGCTGAGTGTTATGCTAGCATTTCAAGATATAATCATTTTTTTAAATCTAATGGCTCCTAAATATTTACTTTGGTGCTCAACTAAAGAAATAGCAGTCTTTTCTGGCAGTGGAGGAATTTGGAGACATTATACTTCATAGGTTACGTTAAGAAATTTCCAAGGGCAATTTTTAGTATAATCTCTACTTAATGCTCTAACCTTGGAACTTAACCTCTATGTAAAATGCAATTCCACTTTTCTAGGGAAAACGGCACTGAACTCAGGTCTTCATTAAGTATGGCACATTTTTCTTTACCTGAAGAAAATCTGAATAATTTAATCTTACTGTTAAGTCTTATTCAGTTACCCTCTAGTTTTTCTCAGTGTGGTCATAACATTGAAAATTTAACATAATTGGAAATTTAATTGTTTCCTAAGTTTTTTATATCAAATAAATTAAGCCATTGATATTCCTTTTTTGATGATGATGGTAATTCAAATATGCTATTGAATTTTATTGTTTATATTTACTTTATAATTAACTAGGATGATTAGTTGGTTCCGAAATTTTTTGTGTTAAACTATATTTTGATCTGTGTTTGCCTTTTACCAAGTTGTTTTCTCTCTTTTTAAACAGATAAGCAATTTAAAGAAAATTTTAAAAGGAATCTTGGATTATAATCATGAGGTAAGGACTTTTTTGACATTCTGCTTGGAAGTGTTACTATAGGATAGTTTCATTTTATAATATTTTACAATATTACTTGAAACAGGTAAAGGAAAAATTACCTGAAAATTAGTAATCAGTTTATTTTCCGTTATATAGATTCTAGGATGTTGGTTCAAACCACCATCTATTAAGTGGCAACTATTAGATAAATATCTTTTTTACTACAATATGAGTAGTTTGTAGATGATTACTAATTTATGTTAAAGTTTACTTTCTGCTATCCGTTAACTCTCTCCTTTCTTCCCTTACTTGTAAAGGTAGTTTAGAGTCCATGCATTGTTGTAATCAACTCCCTTGCCTACTTCCAGTTTATTCTTGGCAAACCCGCATCCCTAGATTAACTCAGTTTATCCTCTGAGTCTGCATCAGAACAGTCAAGACATTGCTTAGGAAAAAAATCAGGCAGTGGAACTAGATTTACTTCACATTTTATGATCACAGGTATCAAATGGACACAACCTTAGAAACCTATGTCATTTCCTTACTGTTTTTTCCCCACAAGCTTACCTGCATTTTTACCTACATCATCTACATCATCTGTCTTCCCCATCTCAGGAAGTGACCCTACCATCCACACTACCACTCAAGCCCAAAACCTATAAATCATTTTATGGTCCTTCCTTCTTTTGATATCATCAGCCAGACCTGTTAGTTAAACTTCCAAAATATAGCTTTCTCCATCTCTACTGCCACCACCCATACCAAGCCATCATTAGCTCTTTCTTAGATTATTGGAGACCCTTATTTCACTCGTGCCTCTCTACAGTCTGTTCTACACTCTAAAGCCAGGATGATTTTCAAAAATAAAAATTTGATTATGTCACTCTCCTCCTGAAAGTCTTCCATGGTTTCCTCGTGTTGAGAATCAAATCCTTACTTCTTACCATGAGCCACCAGGTACTGCATGACCCCTCTAACCTCGTCTTACACTGCTCTCCCCTCACCCATAACACTACAGCCACATTCTTCCTCTTTCTCTGCTTTCAGTATCTTGTTTTTTCACTGTAGAGTTATCAGAGACCTTATATTTGTCTGCATATAAGTCATTTCATTTGAGGCCAGTGAGTTTCCCCATACAGGAATCTTCCATTCTCCTTCCTGATGTAAGTGTCTTGCTATCAGCGTTTTGGAGTCAAATGGAGTGGAGGTAGCTAGGAGGAATCTTACTGTTGGGGGCATGAACCTATATTTAATCTCTGCTCTTTCTAGTGCCCTCTGGTTCAGAACCTCTGTGGCTCTGCTTCTTCAGAGGGTACACAACCAGTCTTTCTGGGGGTGGTGGAGAGATCCATAGTATCAGTGTCTTTGCTCAGTGTGCATACCACATATCAGATTAGGGCCTAAGTTGCCGTGACTCAGGATAGTTATAACTTAGGTATGGGAGGTAAAAATAGAAATTGAGGGTGAGATTGACATGACAGCTCTGTCCTTAGCAATTAGTTTCCATTGCTGACAAACTAATCTCTGTCAGATATTTTATTTTGTCATGTAAATGTAAATTCAATTCTGATCCTTTTGTCTCCATTCAGATTTTAGGACAGCAAATTAATGACTTTACCCTTCCTGATGTGAACCTTATTGGGGAGCATTCTGATGCTGCAGAGCTCGGAAGGATGCTTCAGCTCATTTTAGGCTGTGCTGTGAACTGTGAACAGAAGCAAGGTAATTTATTTGAAGTTAGTGTATGCATTTAAAATAACTATGAAAGTAATATATATTGTATATTTTATATATAAATCACCAGTACAAACAATAACATCTTTTTAAGGCCACCCTCAAAGAATGCCATTTTCTACAATTTTGCTCATTTGTTTTCAAGCTTAAAAGAGCAAGTTAGAATAAATGTGATTGTGATGACACTCTTTCCTGTTCTACAAGACTACGTAGTTCTTTGAGTAGATTATTTTTAACTACACTGAATGTAGTGAAATTTGCTGTGAATTGGACAAAGTCCAGCTAAATTAATTAATAATATCACTAATAATGATAATGATAATACTGGAGCAGTTCAGCTCCGGGAACTTAAAATTGGATATTTTAGATTGCAAGTACGAAGGATTTATTTCACAAATATTTACTGAACTTGTGCATTGTGCTGGGGCTAGGAACACAGTGTCAGACAAGACAGACAAGGTGCCTGCCCTCGGGGAGCTTGTAGGTAAGTGGAGGGGCGGGCAGTAGATAATGCCACACAGCTGAGTGGGGCGAGTGCTTGAAGGTAAAGTGTGTAGGGGACAGTCTAGGCATGGGTCAGGGAAGTTATTTAAGCAAAGATATGGAGGATAATGGATTAAGAGTAATCTGAGTAGTAGAAACTGAATGTCAGAAAGACCTACGTTACTTTTGAGAGGTTAAAAAAACCACCACAACTATAATTGGAGAATAGTGATGAAGGGACAAAGAGAGGTGAAGCAGGAGAAAGGTTAGATAGAGCCTGCTAAAAGGTGATGGCACGGTATTTCACTGTTATTTACATAACCTTTGAAGAAGAGGGTTTTTTTTTAAGCCCAAAGGTATTTTTCTTCTTCCTCCTACCCCATCTCTGGTAATGCAAAACAGATTTTGATTAACTTGTTGTCTGTACTTTTTTGGTGTTCTGGTCATGAATTTAGTAATAGTCAACATTGTTTTCTTGAAGCTATGACTAGTTTTATTGGTCTCTGATTCAGGAATGTTTTCTAACAATGTGTTTATTTCTCTCTAGCCCCATTCCTTTTAGATTTTAGCATGCCATGATCGTATAGTAAATTTTAGTTTGTTTATTCAACTTAACTCAAAATTTAAATAGAGAATTTTCTACATTTGTGATTTTTGTATATTACTGAAATGTCTAACAAGTTTTTTGTCAAAGATTAGAAGATTGGTATAAGTAGGATTCAAGACATGTTAAATCTCTAAGTAGATGCTTTGATTTTAAAAGTTGCATGAAAAATTATTTAATGTAGTTCACTGAATTCAGATAGTGACTTCTTATGTATTTATTCTGTTAGAAGATTCATTAACTCTTGGGATTATCCTTAATACATAGGGGTCCTTGGAAGTGTATAGCTGTTAAGAGTTGGCTAATTATATTATAGGGTAGGAACAGGAAAATAAGCATGTTACCTATATCCATATTCCTATGGAAAAGAAGATGATCATAACATTTATCGAGCTTGTCACATAGACCAAGTGTTCTGTATAAAGCCTAGACTCAGGTTTTCCCTTGAAATTGTATATAAATGATGAAAACTTTGGACAGTATTTTAACATCTTACTTATCCAGAGGGCGTTCTCTGCTGTCAGGAACACAGTTGAGAGCTAAAAATCAAATTTAATGGATTTCTGAATTGTGAAGTGTTACCTGTCACTGCATGTTGATGATGTATAACATAAGGCTGACTACAGTGGCTCTGCCGTTTACAGCCTGACTGACATTGGGCAAGACACTCAGCCTGTTTCCTCATTTACAAATTGAGGATACAAAACCTGATAGTCATGAGGAGTAAATGAATTTGTGTGTGTGTGTTTGCTTTGTAATCCATAAGGCACTAAACAAATAAAAAGGGCTTTGTGTTTAGATGATCTTTTCAGTTAGAAGAAGTTAGGGCAATTGCTCAGAAAATTGACTTAATGTACATTTATTTTGGCTGACTTCTCAAATTGGGGCAAATAAATGGTGATGAATTTGAAAAAGCAAAGATTAATAGTAGAAAACACAATATTTACTGAGTGTCTCCTTTCTGCCTAGTACTCTCCTGGGCACTAACAGAACGAAAAATACTGTTTCCAGATTACGAAATTAAGACTCATAAGTTTCTATGACTTGCCCAAGATTTCTTGCTTGTGAGAGCCTAGCAAGGACAAAAACCCCTGTCTCTTCCACATGTAGACTTCATACTCTTTATACTAAACTGTGCTGTAGATTTTGGACCTAAAAGTCAAGTTTTCAGGATGAAGTCCCTGACATAGCACACTTCATTCTCCAGCATTGCCTCATAGATCTGCATCCTGTAATCATATATACTTGTATTTCAGACATTTAAGATTTGTAAATTTTTTTATTTTTCAAAAATTGTACATTAATGTAGTTCTCATCATTATTTTATCATTTAGCATTCTACGGTGTTCGCGGGGAAGGGCCTTGACGTGGCAACACCGCTTCTTAACTAACGCTTCCCCTCTCACACCTTACTAACTTCCCAACCTCCCTGCTCCCACTGTTATCTTCACTCTAGGGTCCGTCATTAAGTGCTCCTTCCCCGTTACCAGGGCCTCTGCTACTTCTCTTCCATGTTCGCAGTCTTTTATTTGGGGGCTGTTTAGTCATCCTCGCTGTGCTGTTTTCTCCATAGCCTGGGAATTTTGTGTTTGGTGCCTGTGAGCAAAATATCTAAAAGCACTCCCCTATATTTCAGCACTCATATGGTGCTCCCCATTAACAACAGAACAAAATAAAAACAGAGCTTAGGCTAAAGGAATTTTTTTTTTTTTTTTACCAAATAGTGGTTAAGTTATAATATATTTCTACTGTTGACCTAAGAACAATGCCTGTGACTTAAGTGTGTTGTGTATATTTGTAAGTATCACCACACATTTGATTGGGTACAAATATCCTTAGGGCATTACTTCCTTAAAAACATGTTTTTGGTTAACTAAAAGCTTTGACATTAACAACCAGAATGTCAAAATGTCATAATTTAATAATGCTGTCAAAATACTTTTTTTTTTTTTTTTTTTTAACAAGTTACCTGTTAAGCAAAGGATTACAGTTTGGCATTCCAAATACATGTCTCTTTCTTGCCGAAAGGTCACTTTAACAATTTCACAGTAAGACTCCTTCATATAATACTTGGAGTGCTGAGACAATATTTTGGTGTTTGTTTTTTTGGATGTATTAGGGGGAGAGACAGATTGAGGCTAAAATTTCCTAATCACTTTACCCTTTTAAATGTTTCTTTCTTTCTTTTTTTTTTTTTTCATGAGGAAGATTGGCCCTGAGCTAACATCTACCAGTCCTCCTCTTTTTTTGCTGAGAAAGACTGGCCCTGGGCTAACATCCATGCCCATCTTCCTCTGCTTTATATGGGATGCCGCCACAGCATGGCTTGACAAGCAGTGCATCGGTGCGCACCCAGGATCTGAACCGGCGAACCCCGGGCCACCGCAGTGCAGCGTGCACTTAACCGCTTGCGCCACCGGGCCGGCCCCTGAATGTTTCTTATTAAAACATATTTACCATATTTGTTGGAATCCAACTGGCCTATTGATTTTTTATGCATAATGCCACTTTTGTCATCCATTGTTGGCTTTGAAAATAATGAAAACTACTTCCAGGGCTTTTAGGGAAGGCAAGAAATTATTTTTTTCAACTTTGTCACTACCAATAGCTAAGAGATTCTTCTCTTTCTCAGCAGTGGTGAGGGTAAGATGGATGGAGTTGGTGCTTTGGTGTATTAGAGATGTGGGTCACTATTTCAAAGCCCAGTGTTATACAATATTTATTTAGCTATGATATCAGTTTCTATTTTAAATTCATCTTAATTCTTTGTTCTAAGCAGCTCTCAGGTTCATTAAGTTTTTTCTTTTCTATAGTAGAAAATATTAAGGTTGGAGTTATACACAATTCAATGCTTTAATGTCACATAAGAATAAAGCACAGACATTAGAGTTTTTTAACATGTAGCAAAGAATAATGTGAAAGACTGATAATTTTTAGATTTTAGGAATAGTAATATGGAGTCCTTTCCATCCTGGCTTTAGGCTTTACCATTTCATTGTTCTAAGTTCCTGAGATCCTGCATACCTCTGACCTTGAGCTGTAGCCTCAACTTTATAAGGAATGGTGAGAGGGGGAAAAGATTATCTCAAGGAAAGATAAATACTGTGATTTTCAGCTTTTACTTTACCTATGGCACATATATTTAACCATATATAATTGAGGAATTCCTAGGAAGAATCAAAACAGGAAACTTCTTATAAGAATTCATGAAGTGTTAGCCTTTATTCCCTTGACTATCTTTAACTTGAACAGTGACATTCCAGATTGTTCTTGTTTTCAGAGTACATCCAAGCTATTATGATGATGGAGGAGTCTGTTCAACATGTTGTCATGACAGCCATTCAAGAGGTATGTTGGAGCTTTGTGCTTACAGTTTGTGAGAGAATGAAGGAGCAAACATGAGTTTAAATAATTGAAGTAGAAATTTAAAAAAGGAGATTCTCTTACGACTTTTTGAGAATTTTTTTCTTTACATGTGTGTATAGCTTGTCTCATTTTTATTAAGAAAAGTCATATTCATTTAAATTTCTGATTTTTATTTAAATCCTTATCTTGTAGTTATAGATGTTCAGTAACTATTCCTAATTTTTTTAAATGACCTAATGAACTAGGAATAGTAGACTAATTCCTAAAGCTATGATAAATAATATCTAAAACCAGCAGTCTGCCTCACATTTAACTATTGCTTTCTTGTTTGGCAGAAAATGGATCTTTGACTCCAACCATACCTACCCAAAGGGATTTCTAGATGAATATTTATACTGAAACTGTAGGGGAGGAAAAATATCTTTTTCCTCTACCCTTTCAAGTTCTCGGCTGAGGCCTCTGTAACAAAAGACAAAATAACAAGAGAAAAGTATACAAATTTATTTAATATAAATTTTACCTGACACAAGAGCCTTCACAAGGAAGTGAAGACCAAGGAAGTGTTTAAACCTGAGTGTTTTGATGCTAGGTTTGATGAAGAGTGGAGAGTCATGGAAAAATGTGATAGGGCAAAAAAAGAGTTTGAATACTCTACTCAGTGTAGTATACTGGAGGAAACAGCAAGCCCTGTTCATTCAGATTCCTCCCAGTGTCCCTCTGTCCTCAGAGATAAGGATGCTCCTTTTCTCTAAGTGTAGGGAGGGTACCTATCACATGAGGGTCTTAAGACCTGCTTCAGTGGAAGGTCAGAAAATCTTTCTGGTACCTGCTGCTTCTCAAATTCCTTCAGCTTGAAATATTCAATATTCCAATGTGCTGTATTTTGGGATAGCATGTCCTGAACTCTATCAAATGTAAGACATAAAATTATAAAAGTAAAAATAAAATATAGGTTAATAAGTGGTTGATCTCAGGATGTGAGGATGTTTTTAATCATAAAAGTGATGGAAGAAACCCTTAAGGGAACTAGAAGACAGTATAGGACATGAATATGCAACTAACAGGGAAAAAATACAACAAACATGAAAAATGCTAAATGAAAGTTACGATAGGGCCGGCCCCGTGGCTTAGCAGTTGAGTGCGCAAGCTCCGCTGCTGGCGGCCCGGGTTCGGATCCCAGGCGTGCACCGACGTACTGCCTCTACGGCCGTGCTGGGGCCGCGTCCCACATACAGCAACTAGAAGGCTGTGCAACTATGACATACAACTATCTACTGGGGCTTTGGGGGGAAAAAATAAATAAATAAAAATTAAAAAAAAAAAAAAAAAAAAAAGTTAAGATGAAGTGTTTTATTTTAATTCGACTAACTGACTATAATCCAGGGGTTCCCACTACCCCCTCAGGTTTGATAATTCGCTAGAATTACTCACAGAACTCAGGAACTGTGACAGTTTTATTATAGCAAAAGGATACAAATCAGAGTCCGCTCCCTTTCCCCCCAAATGCATAGAGGGAGGTCTGGGAGTGTCCCAAAGTTTCTGTTGTCCCCTCCCCATGGAATCAAGGTATCACCCTCCTGGCATGTTAATGTGTGGCAATATGGAGAGTACTGCGAACCAGGGAAGCTCACCTGAGCTTCATGTCCAAAGGTTTTATTGGGGTTTCATTTTATAGGTGTGATTGATTGGATCATTGGCCACGAGGTTGAACTCGATTTCCAGCCCCCCTCTCCTTCCCAGAGGTCAGACTGATATCAAGTGACTCAAAGCCCCAACCCTCTAATGTGGGTGGTCTTTCTGGCATGGCCAGCCCCCACTGGAGTCATCTCCTTAGCTTAAACTGTCTAGAGGCCCACCATGAATAAGAGAGACACCCATTATCAGTAAGGAAATCCCAGAGATCTAGAGGCTGCCTCCCAGTAACTGGGGGCAAAGGCCAGCCAAATTCTTTAATACACAGGACCTTTCAAAAAACCAAAGCTTTTAAAAGATGATCAGTTTGGCAATCAGCACTGATGGTAGGAGGGTAAACTGATGTATCTTTTAAAAAATGATATACTCTTTTACATCCTAGAAGATATAGGGTGAGTGTTGAAATACCGAAATGAGGCTCACCCAAGCAAGACAGAAGTTTAATTTGCTCTTAAGTGGTCCTGGGTTGGCTCTGTAGTCATCAGGGACCCAGCTTTCTTGTATCTTATTGTCTGCTGTCCTTAATACATGATTCCCACCTAGTGGTTCGGCTGTGGCTGCTCAAGTTCCAGCTATCACATTCATATTTCCAGCCAGCAGGAAGGATTGAAGGAAAGGTTATCTACTTCTTCTAAGTAAACTTTCAGGAATTCTCACTCCTATTAGCCAGATATTACTCACATAGCCACACAGGGAAACTGGGAAATGTGATCTTTATTCCAGGTGGTCATGGACCCAGCCAAAATTTGAGGATTTTGTTACTAAACAAAAACAGGAAAAAGAATAAGGGGGCCACTAACAGTTCTACCTTACTATAATTGATCCCGTAGTTCCACTTTTAGAAATTTATCCTAAGGAAATCTGAAATACAAAGATACATAAAAGTAGTAATAGCAGACATTTATGTAGCATCTACGATGTGCTAGATAGTGCTAGTACTTACATTATATCTCTTAACTCATTTAAAATTCACTAAAATTTTAATTAATGCTACTGAAATGTACACTTGAAAAATATTAAAATGGGGCGGGCCTGGTGGTGTAGTGGTTACATTTGCGTGCTCTGCTTTGGTGGCCCAGGGTTCGTGGGTTTGGATCCCAGGGGCAGACCTATGCACTGTTCCTCAAGCTGTGCTACAGCAGCATCCCATATATAAAGTAGAGGAAGATGGGCACGAATGTTAACTCAATGACAATCTTCTTCAAGCAAAAAGAGGAGGATTGGCAACAGATGTTAGCTCAGGGTCAGTCTTGCTCACCAAAAAAAAAAAAATTGTTAAAATGGCAAATTTTATGTTATATATATTTTACCACAATAAAAACAATGAAAAAAAATTAACTACAATCCTTGAGGTATGTACTGTTATCGTCTTCATTGTATAAATGAGAAAACTGAGGCATAGACAATGTGAGTAACTTGCTAAAGTTCACACAAGAGGTAGTGGCAGTTAGAACTCAGATCTAAGGAGCCTGAGTCCAGAGCCAACAGCCCATAACCATTGTGCTGTATTGCCTCAAGATTGTTTATTTCAGCATTATTTTCTAGTACCAAAACATTAGAAATAACCTAACTGCCCAGCAAGAGGGGAACAGATAAACAAATTATGATGTAGTAATACATTGGCATATTATGTAGGCATTAAAGCATATTTTTGAGGAACATAATGACATGGGGAAAGCTGATAATATATTAGGTAATAAAAGGTAGGATACAGAGCACATGAGCGCTATAATCCCAGTTCTGTTAAAAATTAAAATTAAAATGAGTGAAAACAAATAAACTTGCCAAAATGTTAACTATCTCCAAATGGTTGGATGTTCTGTACTCTTTTCTGTATTTTCCAATTTTTCTACAATATCAGATATTGTATCTATAATCAGGAGCATTTTTTGAATTAAAATCTGTGACTGAGTGCTTTTCATTTTATGAATCTATCCCAAGGAATTATTTAGAAATTGAGACCAAGATTGGGCACAACAGTGTTTATCAAACTATTTCATATTAACAGAAATGTAAAAACAATGTATATCCATTGGTAAGCAAATGTTTAAATCATGATAGTTCTATGCCATGGAATATTATGTAGCTGATAAAAATTTGTAAACAAAAAAAGGGGTGGGGCCGGCCCGGTGGCGCAAATGGTTAAGTGCACGCGCTCTGCTGCGGTGGCCCGGGGTTCGCCGGTTCGAATCCCAGGCACGCATCGATGCACCACTTGTCAAACCATGCTGTGGCGGCATCCCATATGAAGTGGAGGAAGATGGGCATGGATGTTAGCCCAGGGCCAGTCTTTCTCAGCAGAAAGAGGAGGACTGGCAGATGTTAGCTCAGGGCCGATCTTTCTCACAAAAAAAAAGGAGGGGGGTTGTCTTATGACAAAGGGAAAACATTTAAAATGTCAAGTAAACAAAGCAATGCATAAAATTATATGTACAATTAGATTATAAGAATAGATTATGTGTCTGTTCATTTTATTCATTTAGCAAATAATTATTAAGCATTTACTATGCACCAGGAGCTGTAGTAGGCATTAGGGATGCAACTATGAAAAAGATAAAGACATGGTCTCTTCCTCACAAAGTGTAAGTCTCACGGGAGAAATAGCTCAACAAGCAGTTCAGATACATGCAAAGCATTCAAAGTGAAAAGTGCCCTGATGGGAAAAATGTAGGAGTACCTCAGGGAGTATCTGACTCAGTTTGAGGACATTCGGGAAGCCTTCTCAGAGGAAGTGCCGTCTAGACTGAGCACTGAAGGATGAGATGAGGTAAGAAAGGGCCAGAAATTGTTCTAAAGTCCAGGCAGCAAGAATAAGCAAGACCTACCTGGTATGTTGGAGGCATTGAAAGAATGCCTGTAGGTGGGAAGTGCTTAGAGATGAAACAAGACATGAAATCATTAGGCTATTGAGCAGTTTTGTTAAGAGTTGAAATTTTGGAAACTGATGAATAGATTTTAAGGAGAAAATAAGAAGAAAATCCATGCAATGAGAAGAATGGGTTAGAGGAAAACAAGGCTAGAAAAAGGGAGAGCAGTTGCGAGACTGGTAATTATCTAGTAAAGAATGATGGAAGCCTGAATATGGCAGTCAGGGTGGAGAGAAGTGGACAGATTTGAAAAGCATCAGAGCTCGAATCAATAGGCTTGATGACTCATTGGCCCTCGGAGGATGACGGGCTAGCTGGATAAAATTATGAGACTGAAGAAGGGCTTTTGTAAGATGGTAGTCTCTCTCTCTCTCTCTTTTAAGACGCGTTCTGTTTTTATGTCTTTATTCAGGTGCTACTGACTTCGATTTTTTTGTGTATGTGGTAAAATACACATAACATAAAATTTGCCATTAGTGACATTTAGTACATTCGTAATGTTAGGCAAACAGTATACCACTATTTAATTTCCAAAACTTTTTCATCAGCACAAAAGGAAACCCCATACCCATTAAACAATCAATCCTCATTTCCTCCTCCCTTCAGCCTTGGCAACCAGTAATCTGGTTTCTGTGTGTATATATTTTCCTATTCTGGATATTTCATATAAATGGAATCATATGATATGTAGCCTTTGTGTTTGGCTTTTTTCACTTAGCGTGTTTTCAAGGTTATGTCGTAGCATGTATCAATACTTCATTCCTTTTTACAGCTGAGTAATATTCCGTTGTATGGATTTACCACATTTTGTTTATCCATTCATCAGTTGATGGACATTTGGGTTGTTTCTACCTTTTGGCTATTGTGAATGGTGCTGCTGTGAACATGAGTATACAGGTTTTTTTTGAACACCTGTTTTTAATTCTTTTGGATATACACCTAGAAATTGAATTGCTGGGTCATATAGTAATTCTATGCTTAACTTTTTGAGAAAGTGCCAACCTGTTTTCCACAGTTGCTGCACCATTTTACATTCCTACAAGCAATGCACTAGGGTTTTAATTTCTCCACCTGTTTGCCAACACTTGTTATTGTCCATCTTTCTGATAATAGCCATCCCAGTGAGTGTGAAGTGGTATCTCATTTTGGCTTATTTGCATTTTCCTAAAGACAAATGAGGTTGACCATCTTTTCATGTGTTTGTTGGCCATTTGTATGTTATCTTCTTTAGAGAAATGTAAGTAGTAGTAAAGTAAATGATAGTCTTTTAACTATTTAAATGCTAATAGGAAAAAGCCACAAGAGAAAGAAAGAGGTTGAGATAAGAGAGGATGATAAGTGGTATAGGGTCTGTGAGAAGCTGGGAGGAGACTGGGTTGAGAGCACAACTGGAAGGATTGGCCTTGGCTGGGAAGAATAGCGCTTGTATTATAACAAGATTGAAGAAAGAGAGGATGGGCGTGAATGTTGCCAATTTTGTAGGTTAAGATATAGGAAATTGGGGAAATTCTTATCTGGAAGCCAGGTTGGATGAAGAGTGTAGGGGAGTTGGTGAGGTTTCAGAAGTGGGAAGGGCTTGGAATAATCTCTAAAGGGAGTAAAGAGACTGCTGACTGGGGAAGCATAAGTGTACTTTTTGGGCAACTTTGAAGGCCCAGTTGAGACTGGAAACTATGTATTAATAGTGTTTTATGATTTTAAAAACTTTGTTACTCTCTCAGTACTTAGCAGTCAGGGTATATGGCCAGGGTATATGGCCAGAAGAATTAGGTAGTTGGATTGATCTTGGATTAAGATTTAGCTGGGAAGAAGGAATTGAGGTAAGAGGAGAATTGATTATATTGACAAAAGTCATCAAAATAATAGACCATGAAATCTAGGTTAGAAAGAGAAGGTAATTGATTAAACAAATGATGAAGCAGGAAGCTAAAGTAGGGAGGGGGAGATTTCCAAAAGCAAGTTGATGTTGTTAGCAGAACAAAGAGGAGCGAACTTTAGGCAGGCAAAACAGTAGTGTTCACGTGAGAGTCTAAGCATAGTAAGGAAGAAAGTGACTATAAGAACATGGGCTATCGGGCCAGCCCCGTGGCTTAGCGGTTAAGTGCGCGCGCTCCGCTGCTGGCAGCCCAGGTTCGGATCCTGGGCGCGCACTGATGCACCGCTTCTCTGGCCATGCTGGGGCTGCGTCCCACATGCAGCAACTAGAAGGATGTGCAGCTATGACATACAACTGTCTACTGGGGCTTTGGGGGAAAAAACTAAATAAATAAAAATAAAAAAAAAAGAAGAACATGGGCTGTGACTGAAAGACAAGGAGAGAGTAGAGAGGTGTGGCGCCTGGAAGCCCTGATGAAGTTGAGGAACAGATATGCTAGATGTAATTGAATGGGAGACGTAGACCGAGAGAAGGTTGTGTTAAGAGAGTGGGATACCTAGATTTTTATTAAGAGGTTGCTGTGTTGTGAAAAGGACTACAGTGTAACAAGGGGAAAAGGAAAAAGACTACAAGAAAATACTTCCACTCCCTTCTCCCTCCTGCCTCTGAATTAGATACTTCCTCTCTGAATATCTGTCACAGCCTTTATCGCACTATAGTGTATTTGTCTTTCTTATTTGAACTGTGCTAGCCCCATGATTGGCATAGATAGCTTCTTAAATATTTCAAAATTGTAAAGGTGAGGGGCCAGCCCTGTGCCTAGTGGTTAAGTTTGGCACGCTCCACTTCAGCAGCCTGGGTTCGGTTCCCGGGCACAGATCTACATCACTCGTCAGCGGCCATGCTGTGGCGGTGATCCACGTACAAAATAGAGGAAGATTGGCACAGATGTTAGCTCAGGGTGAATCTTCCTCAAGGAAGAAAAGGAGGAAGATTGGCAACAGATGTTAGCTCAGGGTGAATCTTCTTCAGCAAAAAAAAAAAAATTATAAAGGTGGTTATTTCTGGATGGTAGAATAATGGTTTTTTTCTCCTTATATTTTTTCTGAATTTTACCTTCTCTACAATGGGTATTATTTTTTCATTTGGAAGAAAAGTCTTTTAAAAATCTTTTTATTAATATTCTCAAAATAAAAGCATAAAAATTGAAGCCAGTGTTTTTATTCTGAGATTTTTACCCCTAATTATGCTAAGGGACTTTCAAGTCTTCTCATTACGTTAATATAGAGTAGTGGTTCTCAGACTTCAGTATGCATCAGAATCACTTAGAGGACTTATATTAAACACCAAAGTTTCTGATTCAGTAAATCTGGGCTGGGACCCAAGAATTTGCATTTCTGACATATTCTTAGGCAATGCTGATGTTGGTTTGGGGACCTCACTTTGAGAACCACTGATCTAGAGAAAAAGGTACAACTGAACGTAACATTTCAATTCTTTCGAGAGTGGGATGAAGGCTGAAATTAGAAGATATTTCAACAGTACATCCCTACATTTCTAATTGTCCCTCTCTCTCTTTTGTCCTCAGAACATAAAAAAGAAACAGTAGAAAATTGAGATCTCTTGAACCTGCCCCTGACATTTGTCACAATCAGAATTTTACCCCCTTCGCCCCCAAACCCTCGTACACCCTTTGGACCTTCTCTCTTTCAATACAAGAGTGAGAGAGGCTAAGACAGATTTGTGTGTGCGTGTGTTATCATGAGACTTTAGCCAGTTAATTCTGGCTAATATTGATGTTGCCCACATTTGTTCTTTAGAAATAGTTACTTAGTGTTACCATTTTTTACTGAAAAGTCAGTGTTTTTAAATATTTAGCCACATTTTTAACTTAAAGACTTGCCTTTTTAGTGATAAGAATAGGGAATACTTGATTCTTATGCCTGGGCCTATAGTGAAAATGAGCACCAGAATTTAGACATGTAATTTTATTTAATTTTTTTTTTGGTGAGGAAGATTGGCCCTGAGCTAACATCTGTTACCAATCCTCCTCTTTTTGCTTGAGGAAGATTGTTGCTGAGCTAACATCTGTTGCCCATCTTCCTCTACTTTATATATGGGCCACCACCGCAGCATGGCTTGATGGGCGGTGCGTAGGTCCATACCCAGGATCCAAACCCACGAACCTTGGGCCACGGAAGCAGAGCATGGGAACTTAACCACTACACCACCAGGCTGGCCCAGACGTGTACTTTTAAAGGAAGGCATTATCCTGAGTGAAAAAAAAAAGTTCCAGGCTGAGAAGCTTTAATGTATAAGAAAAATGTTCCTGGGCCAGCCCCGAGGCTTAGCGGTTAAGTGGGCGCACTCCGCTGCTGGCGGCCCGGGTTCGG